AAGATATGAGAGGAATGAACAAACATTGGACAGAACTGGAGAGGGAAGCCCAGGACAGAGTTGGTTGGAGAAAACTGGTGGGCGGCCTATGCTCCATTTGGGGTAACAGGCGAAAGTAAGTAAGTAAGTAATCTGTTTACAAACAAATTAAACATTTTCAGGCAGGGTTTTGGAGGTTTGTGTTCTTTTACACATTTGAAATCATCAATCAATCATTGTTATACCACCATTAGAATTCTGGAAGCACTGAAAGTCAGACGTTTCGTCCTGGTATGGGACTCATCAGCAGTGCGCATCCACGACTCCTGCACCTCGCAGGATTCGAACCCGGGACCTTCGGTATTGTGCGCGAACGCCTAACCATCGGACAACTGGACCGGCATTATTTTATGAATAAAAATGTGAATGTCTTGTGTAAAATAGAAGTAAATTAGTAATCGACTTTAGATTTAGAAATTGGTACGTATGGATTTAAAGAAAAAGGCAATAGTTTGGTTTCTGATCATTATTTCAAATATCATGCCACTCAGGGGAGAAATGAAATTTCAGTCATTAATAAGTTTTATGAATGAAACATTTAGAGACTATCCTGTACGTCCACTTGTAAGCCTAAATACACTTGTTAAATAGCATGGATTACAATTGGCCATATCCTGAAAATTAATAAATAACACGTAAACAGATAACAATCTATGCCTGTTATATCTTTGTAATTCATGTTGTAGACAGTAATAGCGTATATCCGGTTGTCTAGTAAATTTTTATGTTTTAGAAATGCTTTTGATGACTAGTTTGATTGACATGACAACAAAAGCATAAGTACATTTTTAAAAAAAAAATTTTTACCAGTATAAACATGTTCTGAAAAAAAAGGATTTGTTGCTATCATTCAAAAAAATAAAAATTTCTTCTTAACCATAGCCCAAGGGTTACAATGGGTTGATAGTTCTTCTACCGAAGATCTGGAACATAGGTGTACATTTTTTATAGCATCATTTGAATTCATATTGTAGTGAAGGAGAACCGAAGGGTTAATTGGTAAAATATCAAAACCATATCGTAAATCGTTAATTTGCAAAATATCAATCCATCATATCGAACTGGACTGTTCCTGTTGCAAAAAATCAATCCATTGTCTGACATTTCACTATTCATGCGTTTCATACAAATCCCATTGTGTTCCCGCTCTTCCTTTCTTGATCTTCCCCCATTTTCTGCTGCCAGACATTACGTTTACACTCGCGTCATATACTACTTATAAATAGCGCGCACCACAATACATTTACTTTACAGATCCATTTTCAACAATTTAATATAACTTGATAATTATTTAATACAGAATTGTTTTATAGTCCTATTGAGTGATTTGAGTTATTTCTCTAAAGAAACTCTGGTTTGGTTGAGTAATAAAAACTTGCTATTATTTTGATTATTAATTACTGACAATTTTACAGTTGGTGTTTTCATTTTATATATTTTAGATGTATGAGCGTGAGTAAGAATTTTAATCGTTAAGTTGAAACGTATTTTCAACTAACCGGTATGTCGGTGCCAATGTGTTCAACGAATGGTACAAGTGATCTTTATTTATTAAATCAGGTAGGATAAATTAGATTTTGCGTAAGAGAGATAACATCGTTTTATCACAAGTTTAATAATACTTTATTAATTTAAAAGAAACGAATAGCCATCTGTTTAGGTATTTTTCTGATTATCCTAACTACTAATCAGAGACATTAAATTCTGGAAATGACCTCATACCCAATAGTTAGAAGTAGTTTTAATCATAGACGTATATAAACGAATGTGATAGATCGGTTGCTGTCCTACTCCTTGCTTGATTGACTTTACCGATGAAAACTGAAGCCAATGTATAAGAAGTGGATCCCCGTGGTTGGAAGATAATTGTTACCTAAGTAGGTAATAAATGACGATCATAATGGCTCATAGTTCGTTTATAAAGTCAAATTGTCGAAGATGGGGACATTCAATAATCCTCTTGGTAACTCTTAGCAAACAGCATATATCTTATTTACAATTAACGATATATTTTAATCATAACAACAGCTTATTAGTGAATGGTTATTTTTCATTTAGTGATTGAATGTCTTCTTAATCACATGATTGCAGTTATTTAGTTAACTAGTAGTCTAAGAAAAAAACAATAAGTCTAACGCAGAATGTACATTCACATATTGCTGAGATGTTAGAGAAATTATCATATCGCTTATATATGCGATGGTTCAACCAGTCGGTCGAATTTAAATGAATATTCCAATTAAGTTTCATAAAGTGTATTTTGGAGTATTATATCATAGATGTTCTTCAGTAACATTCTTTTCTAAGTGTTAGAGTTACCGATTACGACGTGCTCAACAAGCCTTAACACTAGAACCGTGGAACTTCAGTAACACTAGTAAAAGCTCTAGGCAGCGGTATATGATATTGTGAAGTTCATTTAATATAATTAGATTTTTTTTACTATAATGATAAAGGTAAGCAAGCATTAAAAATAACCTGCATTACGGGGTTGTGAAGATTGATAAGTTACACATTTTTGAAACCATGAATCGATCAATGTTAGAACACCATTAGAAACCTGGAAGCACTGAAAGACGGCCGTTTCGTCCCGGTATGGGACTCCTCAGCAGTGCGTATCCAAGACACTTGCACCCTGCAGGATTCGAACCCAGGACCTCCCGTATTGTAAATTTTATCATTAGTCACAAGGATTAACTATTTCACTAATGGGTTATACATGGATTCTTAATCAACAGTATTTTTTTTTATCTTATTGTTGTTTTATTCCCATTTTTCTTTTAGGATTTAATCAATGCAGCACAAATCGCTATACATTTAAATAATGAACTGCATTCTCTACATCATATCACACCAAATATTACAGCATTACATAATTTCAAGTCGCATAGTTTACCATTAATTGAACAATACATCACATTACATGGTGCTGCACACATGTCTTATTGTTCACGAGTTACAAGTTTTAAATCGAATTTTTATTTACGTAATATTTTACAAACCTATGTACAACCATTTGTTATATTCTTTACAATCATTACAAATTGTTTAATCTCAATTGTGCTGACTTATCCAACTATGCGTAATTCAACAAATATTATTCTATTAGGCATAGCAATATGTGATTTATTAACAGTTCTATTACCATTACCTGTATATTTATGCTTTTTAACAAGTAATTTATTCTCAGAAAATTTGACCATTTTCAAAGGATACAGTGTAACTTATTTAACGACAATTTTACCGACCGTATGTCATACATCATCAATTTGGTTAACAGTGTTGCTAGCGCTACAACGTTTTATCTATGTACAATTTCCATTGAAAGCTAACCGAATTTGTTTATGTCAATGGCGACCAGTTCAAGTGTTCATTATTTTAACTGTAACCGCTGGATTATTACTACAGCTGCCACATATGATTGTAACACATTTTATTAATGCTTTAGAATATTGTTTTCTATCGTCCAGTTCATTATCATCGACAACAAAATCATCTTCATCTTCATCAATACCAGAATATTTATTTGGCTCTGAATTTATTGCTTACATTCTTAATGATTCACATAAGATTACTGATTATAATTATATTAGATTTCAAAAAATTAATTTAATGAAATGTACACCAATGAGTCAAACAATATTTTTCACTTTATTAATAATACGTGTATTAATTGTGAATTTAATACCGTGTATTATGTTAACTATACTAACCGGTTTATTAATTATGGCATTACGACGTTTTATACAGAATCGACAAAAATTATTGAAAATTAAAAATGATCAGTGTCCAATATCACTTTGTAAAAATAGTGAAGCAAATTTAGTCGGTAATAAAGAACATAAAGAAGAAATTGGTAAATTAGATAAATCACAACAATCTAATCAAAAAGAACAAAGTTGTTTGTTAAGTAGTGAAATGAAGCATTCAATGAATACACGTGCCAATAAAGCGCCAATCACAGTCTCTTTGACATCGACGAATAATGGTTGTCGAAAAAAATCCACACGTACTAATTCAACTGACACAGATTCAACATCAAAAATGATGCTTGTTATATTGGGAATCTTTTTAATTACAGAAATTCCGACCACTGTTTGTTTATGTATTTATGCATTTATTACATTGTTAGATATTCATCCACCTTCAGCATTTTATCAAGTAAGTGTTAAGCATTCATCATCATCAATCAATTAACAGAATACTTTTTCTTATTTTTTGACCACTTATGTACAGAAGTGATGATAAACTCTGGTTTGTTGTTAGATTTCCTAACTGTCAAACGAAATATGCATAAATAGTGCGGTATATTTATAGAAAGTTCAATATAAACTATACTATTGTTCAGTTAAGTGAAAACACGTCAGTATTAAGCTTCTATTATATATTCTTGTTGGGAATTCTTCAGTTGTCTGCTGTTTTAATCTCATCTAAGATAGAGGTCAACAACTTATGACATCTTGACAATCATATTACGTTATGTAGAAACTATTTTTAGGAATTTTTAAATTGTTTACGAATAATGATTAAGTTCATTAATCAATAAAAAATGAATTGAGTAATTAGATGATAAAACATTAGTACATTTCTGTAGAACAAAATATAATACAAAACATGAAAGCTCAGATATATTACAACACTACAAAACGAATAATAACAGTGATAGGAATCAGAAACGTTTTCTGAATAGTCAAAACATCAATGAAAGTCCAACAATACAGTCACAGTCTCCAGATAATTCCAAAAAAAACTAGCACTCACAGTTGATTTATATGGTTTAACGTACTGGCTCTATCATGCTTACCTGACGATGAAACACTAATAATTTAGAAGCTTACTATATAAAAACAGACAGTTATCAAAGCTACTACATGCTGTGAAAATAGGATTATTTAAAAATTTTTTCTTCCACTAAATTATGTTTTTATTCATTTTATTATTATTTTTTTTATTATTTTATTCAGTTCTACTAATAATAAACAATTCTATGAGTATTATTCAGATGATCAGTCAATTAATTAGTGCTAAGAGAACATAAGTTATGCAAGAGAATATGAATTTTGGCTTATTTTATTATCAGTTAGAGCTTTGGAGATTTGTGCTTTTTTTACACATTTAAAATCATCAATCAATCACTGTCAGACCACCATTAGAATCCTGGAAGCACTGGACGGCCGTTTCATCCTGGCATGGGACTCATCAGTGGCAGTGCGCATGACTCCCGCACCTCGTAGGATTCGAACCCGGGACCTTCAATATTGTGCGCGAACGCATAACCTTAGAACCCCTGGGCCGGCACCCAACGGTTTAGTTTCAGCTGATCAGTTCCATTTATCGATAAATAATGACTATGTACAGACAAGTGCATTTAGTAGGTTAATCACTTCCTATCACCTGTGTCGATCTTCCACGTAACGTTAATTCATGATAAATTAATTTTTAGATAATAAGCACCTTCACTCATCAACTCGTTTCTTCTTCTCAAAACATTTACTATGTTCCAGGTTATATATTTATAATACTACTAATGCTACTACTACTACTACTACTACTATTAATAACTTGATACGTACCTTATGCATCTCACCCCCATATGTTCATCTTGTGTTGCAACTTAAACTAATCTACAATTATACTAGCCACTATGTTGCTTATTGTTGACTAATTAAACGTCTGAATAAAATTTCTAATCTAGTTTAACACATACAGCGAAAGTGATGTATTTCCATCATTCCTAATCTGTCAAAATCTTTGCTAAAATTGATAACATTGACATGATGATTGTAACTCCATTTGTTTGTTATCGATTTGATTGCCAACAGTTTATTTACCATTCGTTTTGATTTGCTCTAATCTTCCTTCATATACAGTATACTTTATCATACTAATGTTTAGTTCTATATGTGATAAGATGACTTTATATATTTCCAAATTTAATATGATCTAGTAATCACGAGTCTAACGAGTCATTAGTCCACCCTGCTCTGACCAACGTTCTAAGTTCATTAATTATGCGAAATATCATAATATAGATCAATATGTTCACAATGTGACGCATAATACCTTTTGACCAAGTTGCTTAATCAGCTGATCGCCTGACCAGATTAGTCACATTATTTTTTAATTAAGTTGTGATCACTTTCAAGAATTTAGGATTTAATTTTTGAACTGAATTTATTCCCAATTTGAAAAAATAAACTACTAGAAAACATTTTTGAAATTAGCCTATCGATAAATCACAGTTTGATAATAACAAATAACTCTGAAATCTATAGTTGTACAAATCAAATTGTTATATACTTTATACTTCCACTAAAAAAGTTGTTTTGCAATTCACTAGCCTAAAGTAAAAATCCAAGTCTGAAAATCATGGCAAATCTTGATATTTTATATTGAAGTCTTAAACACTTAGGTAGATTAACACAGCGGTACTTATCCTATCAGATTTAATGTACAATATCCAAATACCCTTTTGAATTCTCTTTTACTGTAAGGAGGATGCCGTGTCTTATAATAATCGATAGAGCAGATTATTGAATGTATAAACTGTTAAAAAACATCTGTGCTTCTATTTAACACAAATAAAACAGAAAATTTATCTCATTTCTTTTTATACACACTCTGTAACTAGTTACTCATAAGGTGAGTTACAAATTCGAAACAAAACGATAGATAGATCTGAAGATTAATTAATATCTGTCAAAAAAATTTCTAATTTTATTTTGAAATCGTATGATTTAACATAGAATTTTCAATATTATTTAGCCTATTAATAAAAACGGGGAACATTTCCATTGTACACACAACGAATAATATTTTGACAAACAATCAAGGAAAAAAAACTAAACTATGAAGCATATTTTCATCAACTTAGATAATTTAACTAGTGTGAATGAAATTCTCTTTTTTGGCATATCATATACTAATTAGTCCAGAGGTTAGGCATTTGCACGCAAGCCTGAAGCTCCTGCATTCGAATTCCTGCTAGGTGCATGAGTCGTGGATGTGCACTGTAGATGACTTATATACAATGATGAAACGGCGGTCTAGTACTTCTTGATTTCTAATCGTGGTCTAACATTTTGGTTTGTATTCAATCAAATTTTTATTTATCGTGAATTAAATATTGAGATATGTTCATCGTGGGTTTATAGAAATTATTGAGTTCCTTCGAAATCATAAAATGTACTCACTAATGTCTAGGTTTTTGAGGAAATTCTCAGAGTTCTTGTCAAAAAAAATGTCAGCAAAATTATTGAATTTTTATTTTGATATCATATGATTTGACATAGAATTTTCAATATTATTTAGCCTATTAATGAAAACGGGGGAAAATTTCCATTGTACACACAACGAATAATATTTTGACAAACAATCAAAGAAAAAAAACTAAACTATGAAGCATATTTTCATCAACTTAGATAATTTAACTATTTTCTATTTTGACATATTATAAACTAATTGGTCTTTAGAAATAATATACTTTTTTCTTTTATCTAAATTTTAATCTTGTGGGATGTTCTTTTTCATCCCGTTTTCATTGATTTGACTGTTTGAGGTTATAGTAGGTTTGTTTACTTCATGAACGAAACAGCCTTCTATCTCTTTCCATATTTGTGTATTTATATATATGCACATACTTAGCTAACAACTTATGTGATAGCTTGTCAAATTCGTTTAAAAACTAAATAATCATAGATATTATCAATCTAATAATGATTTCTGTATCTCAATTAGTTGAGTGGTTCATTGCAAAATGTGAATTTTTTCTTTTTCCTTCTTTTTTTCATTTTTTAGTCTCAATAATACGTTTTAGACATTTTTATTTTATTTACTTGTTTGTTTGTTTATTTGACAAGAATATTGTGTTTTTTATTTTGCTGACAGTTGATCTTTTTTTGTTAATTTTTGAAACGGGAAAAAAACAGTAAATAAACGAAATGAACATTTGACAAAAGAAGAAGTGAAAATGTTTTTTGGTTTGTTTTGTGCTCCATGCATGTTAAAAATGACAATGGAATATTTTGAAGAGATCGAAAAAAGAAATTCAAACTAACAAGAATAGTTCTGTTTGTGTGTATGAAAAAAATTAATTAACTGACATTTGATAGTAGTTAATGTGAAAGAAAAAGCTTTTTTTCTTGTGGTTGTTACATGAAATCTATCGAATAGTGAATTCGCTATTCTTTTGTAACGATACATTTTTAGAGGGAGAGTTTATTGTAGCAATTTTTCTTCTAGTATTACTGATCATTTGTATCTAATCTAAGTTCGCCTTAATTGGAATAAAAAAGCTCTAAATTAAGTGATATTCTGTGAGAGTTTTATTTTTTTAACTAGATCATTGAGACTTAGTTAATAATGAGTGATATCTGCTTAATTAATAGTGATTGGTATTAACGTTTGAAGGCTTTTTATTACATTTCATTAAGAAATTAATGTGAGATTGCTAGGCTATAGATAACAGAAGGAAAAGAAACATGGAGAAATATTCCTAGTGTAAATTGAAATGAGTTAATTATCTTCTTTTCTGACAAGAACGATTGTTTCTTGTCATTTTTTTTAACTCATCAACTAATTCTATTCAAATCATAAATATCTTTGCGTTGTTTTTCTGATTTTTATTTTCCTGATTCCTGTATCGTATGTAAATTTCATTAAATCTATGGGTTAAACCATCCAACTGACAGGAAGAAAACTTAACTGGAGTTTTAGAGTTTCTCCATCATCTTGACAACGCCCAAAACAAGCTTCTAGTTCTAGATATTTCTTTTTAGAATTATTTACGTGGTTGATATCTTTCTTAGTGTTCACTTATATATATGGTCCGTAAAGACAGAAGAGAATCTATGTAAAACATAATGAATCATATTAAGTTAACATAAATCGTTGCCCCTGACATAAAAGCCATTTGCAGCTACCTGAAAATTTGCTTTCTGCGATTCTGTATTCATTGGCCTGAGCGGTTCAATCATCAAACTTTAATTGCCTCTTTAAACATCAATCAAGTGATATCAAGTTAGAATCCAGCATAGCTTACATTAATTCGAACAGACAGATTGTTTCACTAACGCTCATTTTGAAAGGATTTTTTTTTGAGTTCTAAGTAAATACGGCCGTATTTAGCAAATGTGTCATATTGTCGTTGAAATTTATAGTCGACGATTTCATATTAAAATTTGACAATTTACAACTAAAATATTTGAAAATCGCTCATGAAAGTGTAAGATAATGTATACATAGCTTTTACTAATTAATTAAATGTGTTGGAGGTTTAGAAATGCATTATTGGGATTTGTCACTGAATTGTGCAGCTTAAAGATTTTTAGTACAAATAATTAACAAATGCATGAATCCAAATTCTGAAAATAAATAAAAAAGCTATTCCCAAGGAACACTAGACACTATTGTTTGTTGGCTGGCAATTTTCTAAATGAAATTTATTTAAAAGACTTAGTCGAATTCTCAAATGATTCAAAAAAGGCATGTATTTTTAAATCTTCAGCAAAATTAATGTATTCATTAGTCAACTGTTTAACTGGTATCAAATATTCCTATTAAAGACGAATATAGTGATTTTATGCACCGATTATTTTGAAGTAATCTTTATATAGTCAGTATACTTTGAAATGATTAATAACTATGATTAATAGAGTAGATTTAATGAGTGTATAAATTTCATTCAGTTACTCAAATTGGTTTAACTGACGTATCATCTCAATGGTTTTTACAAAATATATGAAATGCTAATTAACATATCGGAAAATAGATTAGACACAACGAAACTCATGGCTATAAACAACATCATTGTTTATATGAAATAACTTACTGGTTAAAAACATGAACTCAGTTATTTACTTATATTGGAAACTATCCATTTCCAATAGTTCTAACCAAACATTAGTAGCGATTAGAGAATATAACTGAATCACAACTGAAAATGTAATTTAATTTTATTCAGTAGAAAATAAAATGAAAATTGCCAAGTTCAAATGATATGCAACTACCTTAATTGTATGTTAAATAACAACTGTTTTTTAAAGATTATTTTGATTTATTTTTAAAACAAAAATCATAAATTAATAATTTAAAACTGATCGTTCTCCTGAAGAATCCACACGTAATGTAATGTAAATTTTCGCGTTCTTAATTGCGATTTTTTGCAATAATTTGAATTATGCCCTGATCGAAATGTTTAAGAGACTCTTTATAGAACTAGTAATTAAAAATAATTCCTGTGAATTATTCCATTGAATATTTGAAATCGCTTGTCGTACATTTCTTTTTGAGTTTGATTTTATCTACTAAGAAAATAATCGAGATAAACAGTTTGACTGAATTGATTGAAAAGTTTTTTATTGATTTGTCAAAATCAAATAAATCTAGATAGCTGATTATTTTAATGTCAAAACGATCAAATAAATGACTTGATTATGATGAATATCATATATTTTATGAATGATTAGATTTAGTGGTATATTCTGATGAGAACGATGTGAAAATCTCCACATTAGTATGGATACATTCACTATTGAACATGTTGGAAAAGTGATATTGAAATGAAAAAAAATATACCAGTGGTATATGTTTTTTAGAAACAGTTTGATCAGTTCTAGTTCGCTGGTCATTTTTTGTAATAAAGCTATACACATTACGAATAGAATTTAACACATTTAATATCAATTAATAGTGTTGCATAGGGGTACTGTAATATTAGCGAAATTGTATTACGTTTGTGTTTTTTTGTACGGCTTTATGAGTAGTTTCAGTAAATTTATTTTATAAAAACAGATGAGCCACACCTAGTTCAAGGATTCATACATTGACTTTTAAGTTTCCATGTAAATCAAATTAAACTCAGAAGAACTTTCTGCTTAATTTCAAAGTCACAAATCAACATGCTCAACATCTATAAATGACTCTTAACTTATCTGAAATACTTATTATATGACCGTAATCTAGTCAAGAGCATAGAACATAGAATCAAGTAAACGTAGTAGATAGATACACAGTTAAATACGTTTCCTGTTTTCACTCTCCTCTAATTTTGATAAAGATAAATTTAGGTGAATGACTTACTAATGAATAGATTCATAAAGATGACTAAAAATGATACTTCAATAATTAAATCCTTTTGTTTGCGGATATTATCATAAACATAATGAAGATAGGCTAAATTAGCTTTCATTACAAGTTGAAGGTCATTTACGGGAAGTCACACTGATTTAATTAGTCTACTAAGGTGATTAATGCTGCTTAAATAATTATTATGCTGGAAAAAAATAATTCATTCACAAGTTGACGGATAACATTAATGAGTCGATGACGATCAATAAAAAAGACTCAAAATATAGGTTACCTTTCATGATATATAAAGGAAACACTTGACATAGATTTTTCCTACAGATTTTAATGAGTACACTGGAAAGGATTCTGGGCTCTCAAACGTATTATAATATATCATATAATGTTAAATGATTTTAATACGTGATGAATAGGTGTCCATAGGTTTTACTGACTGTGAGGTGAAGTTTTACGGCAACTCTTTACAATTACAACGAAAACATTCATCTTAAATCAGCATGAATGTTACTATTCATCTATCTATCATGTCTAAAACAAAAAACCATTTCCATAAAAAATAATGGGGACACCTAATCTGTATATTTTAATGCATAACGTCTAAGTAAATATCATTTGATTAAAGGAGACTAAACATAATAACAGCATATGAACCTGTGCTCCACGTAATTCATGATCATTTGTAATGATCATGACTCTGTATAGCTTTGCCAAAAATCAAGTAATTCAAAGTTGTTTCATTATAACAGTAGCCTATCAACGTTTCCGCTCCACTATAAGACTAAAAATCGGCCTGTATGTCTTTTAACTCCCTAACCTGAAAGTTTTCGTCGCTGATGCTATCACATTTAGCTATGGCTTTTTGAATCCATTATACATAATGTACAATAGAAGCCAGCTTTTTGAGACTATTTTTTTAAACGAAATCCGGAAATTCAAATTTTGATTTCTTTTTTTTCTGAAAAAATTATTCTCTGTCTAATTAACAATTGTCTTGTTGCATAGTCAACTTCATGATATAACAAAATATATACTGATATTGATATGAAGTAGATTTCAGTTACATTGTTAAGAAAAATTTTTTAAAATACTGTGGATGTGAACACTACATTTGGTGCAATGTTTGAAAAAAAAAGAACCCACTTAAATAGGTTAGTTTTTTTTGCAACATATCAAGTTAGAAAGTATTTACTGATTATCTATATTCTAATTACATTTTTATCCAATTGTCTGGATTTATAGTATTTCCTGTTCACTTCCAATTCATGCTAACGAGATCTCATTGTATTATTACTTTCAGCGAGAATTATTTTTTTTTGTCTGTCTGATTAATTCAAAGATGAAAATCGGCATGCGAAACTCACAGTGTTTACTCTGAATAGAAACAGTATGGGTTGATTGGAAGGTACACGAATTTAGGCACTTCATCTCGTTCGTGAAATACATATTGTATAATTATCGATCGGATGGAGAAAAACTTTTTTTAAATGAAGGAATTAACAAATTTCTTAGAAAATATTTACATTTTATAGAATTTTCTACAAGCTTACGCTTTCGTTTTTTTTTCAAATCAATAATTAATAGTTAATTTCGTTGAGATTAAAATTTATGGGCTGTTACAAGTTGGAACAACTTAGTTTTGATCTCTAAATATATTTCTCTTAAATTAGCGTGCTATCAAAGACGTATATCATATACGATGCATATGCATGATCATATACACATAATAAACTGTGAAATGTTAATCATCAGTAATGATTTTCATCTACATCTTAAACTGGAAACTGTTTAGAAATATACATATGTGTCTTCATTTAAAAATCATTTGGTTTATCACTAATACTTGTCCACTGAAAAAAAGAATAAGCCGTATTTTTTAGTCTTGACCAATCAACGGAAATCAATGGAAAAAGTAAAAGTCGCAAAATGTTATCATAACCAAATTAATGTATTCTGTAAATTGAAATACCGGTTAAACTCTAAATTTCAGTTGAAAATTGAACATAAACGCTTCAATGATAAATTTTATCAGATTTATTCATTATTCAGTAAGAGGGTGAAGGACTGAAGGAAAAATTTCCTTTTATGTATGACTGGTTATCCATATGCATATAATTTTGCGCATAAACTTGTGTTTATTACACATTATTAAGCTAACAACGGAAAAGTGTTTAAACTTTGTAATTGAATTATTTTTTTGCTGTTTATACCAGTTGAATAAATAATTATCTCATCAACTATTTGTTTTTTTTGTTTTTCTAGATTGTTGAAATCTGCAATTTTCTGGTGATTTTGTCCTATCCAGCTAATTTTTTTGTATATCTAGCTATGTCAAGACAATTCAAGAATACATTCTGGGAAATATTTAATCAGATACGTCGTAAACACAATAGTTCTGCTGTTGAATAATCGAAATGCCCGAATTCCAGTATCACCTAACATAATTTGGATGTAGGATAAAACATCAGAACGAAAATTGTTTATTTCGTATATTTATAAACCATGAAAGATGAGATTTTAACAAATAAACTATAAATAAATAAATGAAAACATTTTTACATACTTTTACATAATTTCTGTTGGTCGATGTCAGAAGTAGACACAGATAATGAGTCTTGGTAGAAGGAAAAAAGATTTCATGAACGTATTTAAAAACCGATAAAGTATTGCTCTTCATGTCACTTATTTTCACCATATGAATAAGAAAAATGCAATTCTTGAAGAATAGGATTAAACAAGCTACCTACAGAACGTTTATACACTGATATTTAACTGCTACTTGCACAATGTCAGATAAGTGATGATTTTATGTACAGAGCAAGTTTACTTTGTTTAATGTCTCATTCATAGAACCAATGTCCATATTAATGTAGGTGGGACTACAGAAGAGTACTGGACTTGAAGATTTTGTACTATAATCTACGGACATGTATCTCTATTATTTGAATAAGAGATATAAAGATTATATTATGGATTTTTTCCCGAATAACCGGGATGTAAAATTCAAGTATGACGTCATGTAGAGCGGTTACTGTACCACATCTAAGATATTTCAGAAAGAAGAGATAAATCATCCATTCGAATAATCGTTTGACGATCGAGCTGTTAAATATTTAAATATGTTTAACGTAGGTACAGTAAGTTATTCTGATTCATCCATAAACTTCATACAAGTTTTCCATTCATAAATTTGAATAAATCAAGGATAATTAACGTAGCAGAATGAAATGGATTCATTTTATTTCATGGAATAATCAAAAGGAGGATTAATGTCCACAGCGTTGAACAGATTCCACAAAAGCTTGAACTGAAAAGACAGTGGGATTTTTTCAACAGTGCATTCTCACACCATCTGTTTGACAATGACCATGATGTTGATTTCTCACAGTACATCAAGATAATTGATACATGAAGAACGTCAAATTTACGACGGTTAGCAGAAATAATTGCCGTAAAAAGATTTAAAACAAATTTACACATCCAAAACAACTCAGCTATCAAACTTACTTTCTGGTGGTGAATGTATTCATACACATTTGTTCTTAATTGCTTGTCGTAGAATATTCTTATATCCAAAATATAAGAATTCACATCATTTAGCATATCTCCTGTAGTTCTTTCATACTCAGTGCCCTTTCCATTAAACTTCACTGATGAGACCATTTCCAACATTATGATCTAAAGTATGTAAGCTGATTTTTAGTAGTTTATAATCATGTGTTTAGGTTGCTAGAAGCTAATTAGAAACTAGGAAGTAATATGAATTCATGTTACTTTACGAGCGTTAATTGCTCTGGCTTTAATCAAACACCTATAACTATTTGTTAAATCACATTTTTTCATGAAACTTTAGAAATGTAACACGTTAGCAAACAATGATGTCAAACAAATCAGAAATTCAAAGCACACTGAATGGAGAAAAAAGTGGCATTTTTAGTTATTGGTGAAGGTAATTCCATTTGCAGAGACGGTTGGCATCTCTTGAGAAAGTTAGATTTTTGATTCAGTTTCGCTTCATTCTGCTGAAGAAGAGATTGAAAAAATAAGCTAGTGAAATAAATAGCCGGTTTAAAAACTTGTTAACTTCTGGATTCATGGCTTAGGCAGGAAATACACTAGTGATTCGATTGAGAGCATTATTATTCTACTAAGATATGCTCTAATATATTAGGGAGTCCGGCAACAAATATTAGAAGAAAACTTGGTTGATGTACATGGATAGGGAAGCTGCAAATTAGTAGGATGCGCAAAGAGGTCTAGGGGAAAAATAAATGTTCAATTATGTTAAAACATACACACATATAAAGTAAAAGAAAAATAGAACGTTAAAAGCAGGAACAGTATCAAGGTAGGCAAATTTCGAAACCCAATGATGAATAATAACATGTGAATGATTCAACTAAAGCAACCAGTCAATCTTTGAAACTACTTACTAATTTTTATGTTTAAGTACAATATCATTCAAAACAGGGGATTATTCCAAACTAATCTAAAACATTTCAACTGTCTTGAGTAAACACTGTCAGTGAATGGTAGAGATCAAAGTTGAATAACTAAAAAATGTTTATAAAGTTACATGTAAATAGTATTCGGTCGTAAACCTTATCATTCAGATTAAGACTTATCTCATAAACCTTCACTGTTATGAGATTAAACGATGGTTTATTTCCGATGTATTCAGTGTTCAAGAAATTGTAAAAACAAATCTTACATCAGAAGGTGTAATTTACAAACGTGACAACAGAAACATTTTAGTATTCCACAAAATAGGACAATATTCAATAATTAACTCTCAAATTTGAAGAGAATTGGCTTACACTCTTAATGAAGTCAACTTTCATTGAGTTGCAGTTTCTGAAAGCATATATTAACGAATAATATTGAGTTTTCGGGGAAGATCGTTTATATAACTACGAAAATGCGTCTGAGAGTTAACAATTAAGATCATTTTAAGCGATAATGTTACCAATGATGCGAATGAAATATAACAATACTAATAAAAGTACACAGATAACATCGATAACTATTGTCGAAGTCAAATCAGTCAAATATCTGGAAAAAAGTCACTCCAGACTTAATGCATCTGAAGAAAATAATCAGTTACAATTTAATGATTTTACCAAGAATATGTTTTCAGGTAGAACGATCTACTACTGAACATTAGTTTAAGTGAAATACCATGGATTAGTGCGTTAGTTTTATCATACAATCATGATAAACTTTAAAAAGTTTTAAGAGTTTACAGAATCAAAGCGTACCATAAAACAACTAACACCCTTCGTAACGTTTTAGTTCGTATAGAGAATAAGACATCCTTTACGTCAACACGCAATTGTGACCATAAATTATGGTTTGTCAAATATGACGCCTTCTATATTAAACAGTCATCTGGTGAAATCTTGACTGGAGCCAAGGAATATCTGATGTACACAAAATAATCGCCTAATAATCCTATAGAGCTTGGAAGACTCCAAATCAAATCAACAATTTGCAGTACATAGCATCTTAATTAACCATCAAGTCGATATCGAAAATATCAGTATTCGACAAAAAGGATTTTTTTTTTTAACTAGAAAGAAAGGCGAGTAGCAGAAGCTGTTTGTATAGTGCTAAATCCTTTCGTCCTTGCTATCCATCCGACCTGGACCATTTATTTAAGCTATCATATCTGATTCTTCTCACAAATTCAACTCTACTCTTTCACATTAGAAATGTCATATTTTTTACACCCATTCGCGCACACGCAAATACACAAGCATATCTTCATATAAATCACCTTGACAAAAGTAACATGACATTCACTTGGTCAGACCATATTTTTGTCTGATTGATTGATCGATTGATATTTTCGCTCTGATCGTTTTGTTGTACTATTTCAACTTGAATTCATTTGATGTGAATGCACTCAATGAACTTAATCCAGTGTGAAAACCTGATCCGTCAGAGAAATGACCTTGACCGGTTATCTAATATAAATATTAATTTAATTCGTTTATTTCTATTTTTATTATTAGTAATAGCGTAAAATGTTTTTCAGATTTCAACAACCGTAAAATAAAAGTTAGTAAGCATATACAAATATCATATTATATTCATTTCTAGACGAACAACAGTTCTGATAGAACAGTAAGAAAGACATAATTGATCTGAAAAATGTTGTGATGTATTAGCGCGCTATACACATTTCGAACAATCTGGTCACACATATCACAGTTGTCAAGTCATTTTATAGAAAGATGAATAAAAGGTCAATTAAATAAAAGTTCAAATAGACATAAGGTGATAATTGTAAATAAAGGAGGGTGAAAATTAACGTAATATGAAAAGAATAAGAAAGGGTAGGAAAATTGTCACATTACCCTTGGCTTAAATATTACCAAGGTAAATTCAAGGTTATGACAAATTGTTTCTGCAAGCATAAGGGGGGGGGGTTAATTTTCTAATAGCTAAGGCCTCCATAAACCTCAAAATTCGTCCTTCAACATTTCTATACAATGTTTTGAAGGCTGTATTCATGTCAGCAATCTCATGCCCTGTCTCAATTATGTATTTTGCGATCGATGAACCTGGTTTGCTATTTCCAACGCTAATCGGCTCATCTGACTTTAACTGATTTTGAAGCCACTTGATTGCAAAGTCCGATTACTCCTTCCTATGTATGTATGTCCACACAAACATGTAAATTGATAAATGCAATGGGATGTGATGTAACCATTAGAGCAACGTTTAGGTGTATGTGAAATCATGGACTTAATCTTTTCAATGATAATCAGTTTAGCAGCGTTGTATGTTTTCTCTATAGCTGCTTTTAGTCTCTATCTTAATATTAGACCTTTTGCTTCACCTCTAAATGGTTAAGTGATATAAACCTTTTTCTTCTCAGTAGAATGAAAAAAACTCTACACCTATTGATGAACTTTAGCGATGGCCATTTGTAATCAATGCTTCAGTTAAGAATTTTGCATCGTTGTCAAATGTATCCGTGGTGCCAAAATCCTTTGAGCCCTATTGAAGAGGCATTTTACCAAAACCTCACTTATGTTGCAGCGGACAAAAACATCACATTTTTCAGATCAATTACGACTTCTCACTGTTCTATCAAAATTTATAAAAGGCAACTAATTGTTTTAAATTTTTGAATAACAGTTCATTCAAACAATGACAAGTAATAACGTTAAACGTTTTGTATATTGCCTAGTTGTTACGTCACATAGCATGTCCTGAAAAAAGTAACGTCAATGGTTATTATAATTTTTTTATCAGTCAATTATCTTGTTGTTGTTGGTTTTTTTTCCACCCTCGATAATTAGACAGTTTGTTATCACTTACCTTTGAAATTAAGGCAATATTTAGTCGTAGAAACATTTATTTCTACAACTATGACGTTATTGCCTATCAAGTCAATATCAATACATTTCATGTAACATGTGAACAATACAAGTGAATGTCAGTGTTACGTACTTATTCATTATTAAATGAGATTTTTTCAAATCTGTCATCAATATTTCATCGCCTGTTATGCCTAATACTGGTAAATACATGAATTTTGTC